TTTCCCTATGTGCCTACTGTATAAAGGAACTCTCCAAGAACAGTGCCCCAGCCTTTACCTTCCCTGGAGGACTCTTTCCAGGTGACGTGTTCTTTGTGTTGTTCTCGAGGATAGAATAGACATCAACTTGGTGCAAATCCAGGCACTGCACAGGGAAGAGAGAAGAGAGTAGGGGTCAAAAAAATTCTTAGGTTTAAGACAACTAATTGCCTACTGTGTTGTTCCCCATCTCATACCTGACATTTTTTAGGAACCCCTGCCATCTCCAAGATTTTGAAGTTCCTGACCTGAGCTTGGGCAGAAAGAAAATCCTTTTCCCCTGAAATCTTTAGAGTGTGGCTGCATCATCTTCCTTTTTCAGGCTTACAGAGAAGGCCTTTGATGCTACCTACCCTGTGCAAGGCAGAGGAGAACAATGCCAATGCTCCTGCCTCCCTCTGCTCCTAATTGTCCCAGAATGCAGAATAAAAATGCCCTCTGCACATGAAAAGGATGTTGTTCACCATGGGGACCACACATAACTGGCAGTGCTCTGCATTGCCCAGGACTTTTTAGGTGCCTGACACACACAAGCTCTTGCTCATGGTTATTCTGGGCACTCAAGGGTAAGAAGGGAGGTGAGGCTGAAGGTCCTGAAGCAGAAGGGCTTTCAAAACTGGAAAATTCTACATACGGCATTATTTCTCTTTATTGTCTGGGTTTTCCCCCCCCCCCAAGACAGAACTCTCCTTTCTTCTAAGAGTGAGCAAAGAATAATTAAAAAAAAAAAAATCAATACATGCCCAGGCCCTCAAATATATCCATGGCCCCACACAGATACAGAGAGGAACACATACACACATCCTACATGCGTGTGTACCCACTGGTCCCCCAGGTATTCGTGCCACAAGAGATGCGTGTCAGTTTGAGTGATGTTCCAGATCTGCCTGAAGGATCAAACATAACAATCAGGAGGACTTTTCCGTGTGTGTTTCAAGGATGACAGCAGGTTGCCAAGGTGGCTGTTTCTCTGGCAACAGGAAGATGGGAGGAGCTCCGGCCACAAGAGGGGCAGATGGTATTAGTGGAGAGACTGCAAAGGGAACGAGGCGCCCTGCAACACAGCAAGGAGGATGAGCGAAACATAGGGGCTTGATTCTGGGGCTGCCAATCACCTGAACCCTCATCATTTCATCGAGAGTTGCAAATACTCAGCATCTTTTGTGATCATGGCCAGCAGGATGGTGGTTTGAACAGGACAAGATGATAGAGGAGCAGCATTTGGGAGCAGGGCTTGGAACAAACAGGCACTCAGACAGGAGGGGGCTGTAGTGCATGGAGCACCATGAGGGTCTCCCATTGACACTCCTCCTTCAGGAACAGTCGAATTATTTCACCGGTCTGCTTCCCACTCCCAACAACCCACTTGTCTACAGCAGACATTCCCAACTATCCTCATGTGCACATGCGCACACAGAAAATCCCATTTCCCTATCCTCATTTTCCATTCTCTTTGTGATGCTCACAGTGAGGACGTGGTACCATGTGCTGTGCTCCCAGCAGCCTGGCTCTGTGTCCTCTTGGCAGGACAGGCAGCCTCTTTCACTGCTGGAGTCTAAAGCCACTCACAAGCAAGAAGGATCCTTTTGGCATTTAACCTCCAGAAAAGATTCCCTCCCTCTGCAAGCCTTCTTCCCATGGAGGCAGGTTGACAATGCTGGTCCTTTGCTGGCCAGTTGGAAAGCCGGTATCTCCAACCACCATTTACAAATTAATTACTTTTACTTGCTCACTGGCCACCTGCTATTGTCACAGCGGAGGCACACAGGCCTGTCTCTTCCCTGCTGGCAGATGCTTTCCCATCCCCAAGCAGCCTCCTTGTCTCCCTCACACCAGGAAAAGCTCCTGTGCTCTGGAACCCTCCTGCACCACAGGAGTTCTGTTTGCTGCTTCAAAAAGCTTGTTTGAAGTGTAAAGCAGATGAAGCAAGTCCCTCAGATTGTTATTTCCAAGCTGCTCATTAACCAGGCAGCTAAGCTGGAAGATGGAGGAAAATGCAGGTTTGGGTCTGGGCAGTAGGTAGAGCTTCTGGGGCTGCAGTAGGACAAAGAGGTCAAGGAACACTTGGCAGTGTAGTGGGAACAAAGTGGGTGCCCAGCTGCCCCCTTATTACCAGGGCTTTTTGCTACCTGATGCTTTTCACTCCATACACCCACCCCTAGGGACCACAAGGTAAACAGTGGCACCTGGAAGAGCCAGTGGGGAAGGCATTTGCTCTGAGGGATGTTTGGCAGGATGGCTTTGCAGAAGGTGTGCTAGGACCCTTCCCATGCCGGGGTGAGCCCTGCTGCCATGTAGGATAACACAGAGCATTTAAGGAGCTGCACCAGCCAGTTCCAAGCCCTCGCTTTGATCTCCAGTGCTGCCTCCTGCTGCTCCTGCTCCCAGCTCGAGGCCTGCAAGGACGCTGTGGTTCCCTGACCCAACTTTTTTCTGGACTCTGACCTCCTGCTTTCCCCCACAGATGGCACATCTGGCATGTGCTGGCCTCCTGTCCCATCACCTAATCTCTCACCTCCTTCTTTATCTCATCACTTAGAGTTACTTCTCACTCGTCCTTCCCTTTTTCTTGCCTTAGCTTACCCCAATGCTGACCACAGATTTCTGCCCTCCCCATGAATTATGCACTAGGTGTTCAACACCCGATTTAACACCAGCGAGTTTTCACAACTTGTCTAATTTCAAACACAGTTTGCAGGGCTGGATTTACACCATGCAGATTCCCACAAAATTTAGCAGTGGGGCACCAGAGTCATCTTTCAAAGGAAATAAGGTTTGTCAACTTTCCACTCCGCTTACCTGTCCTGAGGGCCCATCCAACACAGGGTCTCCATCTCAGGGTTCTCTCCCCCATTAACTTCCCCATTACACCTCACAGCCCTGCTCTCACCATGTGTGGTGTCTGCGACTGGAGATGCTGCTTCATGCCTGAATGAGTCACCCCGCAGCAGCTCCTCCACGGTACAGTAACCTCCAGTGGGCGGGCTGGTACCCCCCCAGCATGCAGGAGACGGTCGGAGGCTGCTTGCAGCTCTGCCAAAGAGCGCTGAGCTACCTGCCCTGCACACGGGGCTGGCTGAGAGCCCCGCACAGCTGGTGTGTGGCTAATGGGCTTCGGGGGAAGGTCAGCTGGGCCAGGTCCGTAGGGCTCCTGCAAGCACAGGGGCCCAGCCAGCTCCCAGGACTGCCTGTGCCTAAGGCTGGCTCTGCTGGCTTGCTATATTAGCCTTACTGGGGCCTCCTGAACAGAACAACATGATGAAACATGTAATTAAGATGGAGCTAAGGATGCATGACGAGGCCGACTGAGCGAGAAATGGATTTGATTTTTTTTTGTCTCCTTGCAGAAATCATCCACTCCAGCAGGAAACTACCCATTTGGATTTTATAGGCCTGAATTAAAAAGAAATTACTTGATACAAATGAAAAGGTTTATAACCTGCAACCTCGTTTACCCAAAGCATTGCTTTTCACCCAGAATAAACATATCACATACACATATCACATACTGCTTTTTTTTAAACCTCTACTCCAGACATTAAAGGGCCACAAAATGGTGCCTCCACACCTGTGAAGTGAGAATGAGAAGGGGGCAGGCCCATCCTCTTGTTCATATCTGCCCCCTCTCAGGTCTCCTGCCTCCTTGGCAGAGCTTTGCTCCTCTCTATAGTACATTCTCCAAAGCCTCATTTTGTTTAGTTTAAATGATTAATGCAGCAGAGCTTACAGGTTTTCCTTGGAGAGACTTTTCCAGCCCTTATAGACCTCACAGTCAGAAAGGTTTCCTAATATTCAGGCAACATCCTTCTCTGCTCACTTTCATTTTATTCCTCCTTGTTTGTCCTGCAGATCACAGGAAAAAAAACCTTCCCTTCTTAGTGGAGCAGCCCTCCCATGGGAGTAAAAGGAGAAAAAGGAATCCATTTGAAATGGAGCTGGATGGGCTGTAAATGGGATTATGGGTCATGGTTACTTGAGGTAGCTGAGGTCTGGGCCTGGTATTTCAGGAGAGCCACTCCAATCCTATTTACCTGTGATGCTGCAGCTACTGGGCTCAAGGAGTGGGAGCAATCAGCATTCCCCAGTTTGGCGAATGGAAAAGGAGATCTTATGCAATGAAAAGGAAAATGCTCCAAAAAAGAAGCTCCCTTCACTTTCTTCTTGCCCTTTTGCCCCTGGGAGCTAGTCAGCCTGCTCAGGACTGCAGAGGTCTGTGACACCGACACTGGTGAAGGCATCACAGCAGGAGCTCTACACAGGTGGAGTTGTTGAGGGGAGCACTTTTATCTGACCCCTTCCTGAGCCATCATTCTCCTGCTGGGAAGGGCATGTCCTTGAGACACTCTACAGTACAAAGTGGGGCTGGGATCCCCTCTTCCTTTCTGATTTGTGGAGACCCTTCTACCTCTACCACGAGAAACCCTCTCTGGCCCCACACTTGCTGCTCTGTGATGCCACACTACTGGCAGAGGGAAGGGTGCTGCCCAGCAGGGCATGGAGCAAGGCTTCGGGGCTGGGGAGGCCATGAGTGGGACCAGGATGGAGACCCTCAACATGCACAGTCCTGAGAGGAGCTACACGGGGCAGAGCACAGGAGCAAGGTCACCATTACCAGGCTGGTACGCAGGTGTTGTTCACATTTCACATCATGATACTGGTGTTGTCTGTACCATGGCAGGGCAGGGAAAGGAAGGGTTGTACCATGATGCAGACAGAAGGGATGGAGGGCGATTCTGGTACTCACATCATAGACAGGAGGTGGTGTTGGTGGGCTGGCTGAAGGAGGCTGTGTTTCCACCCTCTGTCTCGGGATATTTAGCTGGTTCCTCCTAGGGCACAACACCTGCTGAGGACAAGACACCAAATAACACATTTGGAGAGAACACCGTCTGCCCAGAGATGAAGTGAACACCAATGTCATGTCAAAGCCAGCTGCTCACACACCCCCTGAGTGCTTCCTCAGCAAAGAGGGCTGGCGCTCTCTGCACAATGCGGGCTGGTCCCTTCCTCACCACAGGGTAAAATAGAGGAGTCTGATGACTTACACTGGAGCAGTGGAAAGGAGAACTGGGTTCTGTGTGTGCATAGAAATCATTTCCACCACTGAAACCTATCTGGACAAAGGGTGTGAGTATTTAACAGCACACAACAGTGCTGTCAACAGGGAGTAAAGCAGAGCCCTGTTCAAAGTGTGCAGGGGAATTTCAGAGAGGCAAAGTGAGTTTTGTCAGGATTTGGCCAGGAAGCTTTTGCTAATACACAGAGTCTAGAGACGAGCACCGGACAACAATTAATGATAACATATAGTCAGTGATACACTGATGTGCAAGTCCAGCATGGAGTTGAAGGAAGAAGATATCTTCCCCTAAAACATTTCTTGCATCGGATGAGTTCTCCTTGAACACGCTCCATGCATGCACAGATAAGGGTTAGCCCTGCTCAGCAAGCAAGAGAGGAGGCAGAAAAGGCAGAAGGCTTTGCTAAGTATCTCTGTTCTAATTCAGAAAGAAGTGGGATGATTATATTCACATCACATGAAAACGATGAACTGCTTTCCAGTCCATTAGTAACTAAGGAGGATGCTAAATAGCTTCTCTTAAACATTTTAAAACCAGCAGGTCTGAGCAAGCTGTGGTGAGAAATATGGGCTGTGTTCTGCAGGAGGGCAAATGTAATGACAGCACCATCTCTTCAGGCCCCAAGGAGATCCCATAGGTCTGAGACTTGCTGGCCCACCTCAAAACCTAGAGATGCCAATCAGCAAGTTGGGACAGTTCCTCATCCCCATGGAGACACTGTCTAGGCAAGCAGAGAAGGGGCCTGTCTCCAACCCAGTCACTCTGCCGCTTACACTCCCTCCCCCCCTCCATCAGACTGCTTGCAAGGTAAGTCTCACGAGATTAGCAGGTCTGCCAACTGCTGCCATTCTGTTTTCAACTTCATGATCTCTGACTGTGTGTGCTGAAGCTTGATGCTCCTTGGAGTCATAGGACTGTACCAGCAGCATAGTCTCTGCATAAAAATACACGCAGAGAATCTGCTGTTGTGGTGGCAGAGAGCAGCTTGAAAGAGCTCTGTGGGGCATACTGTACCAAGAAAACAACAGTCCCCAAATTCAATTCTAAAAGACATCAGGTTTTTTTGAGCCAGCCTCCAGATCTCTGGAAGAATGCAGAGGATGCTATTTGAACACCTGAGGGTGGCAGTATTAGGAGCAGTAGGTTTTCCCCAAACAACAGGGATTCCAGTATCACAGCTCCTGAGTTTTTTCCACATGGCCCTTGTCTGATCCAGATCTTTCAACCCTACTTTTGGCTTTTCTTCTCCTGCTCTCTACATCCTTTCTTCCCCACTCCTGGTTTCCTCTTTGCCCTCAGCTACTCACCCCAGCTTACACTTCCTTACCCAGCTAGTCCCACCCAACCTGTGCCACTGGTCTGCTCACCTGAGGAGCCCTGTCAGTGCAGGCTTAACACCCTCCTCAAAGCTCCAGTGCTTCCTCAGCTCCAGATTCCAGTTCCAGTTTCCCTCCCAAGGCTCCTTCTTCCAGCCTCACAGAATCACTGCTGTTGGAAGGTGCCTCTGAAGATAATCTAGTCCAAGCCCCCTCTGCTCAAAGCAGAGTCAACTAAAGCAGGTTGCTCCTCAGGTCCTTGTCTCTCTTTTTTTCCAGTTAGTTGAGACTTCCACGCAGGCTCCTTTGGGATCCTTGTCCTGACCTTCCCCTCTCACTCTGTCTCTTAATGTTTTCTCCGCCAAATACATGCCCAAGGCTCTGGTCCCCATCCCCTCCACACTGCAGATTGTTTTCTTCTATGGTGCCTGAGCCACGGCTCGGGAACACACTTGCACAGTCTCCTTGCAATCAGGTTGTGCCCTTGAACCAGAGTAGTCCCCATCCTGAAAGAGGATTAGGAACAGGGAAATCCTGCCCTCCTCCTGCTGCCAGGGCTGCAACAGGCTTGCTTCGGTGCACAGGACATTACCTGTCTGACAGGCACCGTGGGGAAAGGCAGCCTCACAGGGGCTCCTTTAGACAACTGAGCTGCTAAATTGACAAAAGCCACGACTGAGCATGCACAAACTGCAACTTCCCAAAAACGGATCACAAATTTACATCTTGAAAATTCTCAGGGCCAGCACACTGCTAGTGTGACTTCTTGCCCTGTGTCAGATCCTTGCTCTAAAGCAGAGCATGCTGGAATCAAAATGATTACCAGAATTTCTTTAATGGACAAATCAATTACTGGTTTTGTCTTTCTTGTAATCTTTTTTCTCAGAAAGACTGAATTTAAAAAAAATAAAATAAACCTGAGGCAGACAGACAGCATGGAAAATTTCAGCACGGGGACTTCCAATCCAGCCAAGTTAGAAGCAAATGAAATAAATTCCTAGAATGGGTCGTGTCAGATATTGCTTTTTATTTGGTTATAACTTGCCTTTCTTTTCCACAGAAGCAGAGCTGTTGCAGCGATACTCAATGTAGCAAGAAGAGCAGTAAGAGTAATGAGGATTTCCCACCCGTAAGAGGCCTCTGCGTACCCTGTATCTGTAAGAAAGAAGGCAAAAGATTCACAGTGTGAGTGGAAGTTACAGTCCTGCTGTACTTTTAATCCTGGAAAGAGCCTTGAGAGAGATAAGACACAGAAACAGTGCAGGATACGGTGGCGCAGATGCACACACCCTTCAAAACCTAGTCTGACTGAACAGGGAGCAAGGTGCAGCTAAAGAATCATGCAGAAGAGACAGGATGTAAGAAGCTGCATTTCATGTAGATTAGAGGGAGGTGACATAACTATGAGAGCTGAGAAAGGTGGTAGGTAGAGGCTGGCAAAGGTCTTTAGTGATAGTGGCAGAAAGAGAGAGGGTGGAAAGCACACAGGCCACACAGACTAGCACGGCATCCTCTGACCAGTGTAGCAAAGCTATGTCATCACTGCTCTTTGCATTTACACTTTCTAAGAAGTTTCTCATATCCAGCATTCAGTAGTGCAAATCCAGCCAGTCAGCATGCATGTCCTTATCACTTCTCTATAACATTCCTCTTATCTTAATATGAAGCTCTCCCTTAATTTCCAGTCTGCACATTAATAGAACAACTGACCCCTTGTACCACATGGAAAAGGTGGAGGGATCATGGTGAGCCCTTAACCTGCTCGTGAGCCCTTAATGGTGAGCACCCAGCCCGCACATCTGATAATGGCAAACACCTTAACTACAAAGCCTGTGTTCAGCCATCTCTGTCACACTACTAAAGGCCAAACTGCACTGTCTCCTGAACACTGACACCTAAAAGCAGCCTCTGACCCAGTGTCCAGGCTCCCTGGTTAGACCCTGACTTTAAGCTTGCTGTTCCCCGAAGGCTGTGGCAGGGTAGATAAAAATTACCACATCTTCATGTCCCCACCTGTGCATTGGGAACATTAGCACAGGTCACCTGGGTAAAGCGCATTCAACTCTGATGGCATTCAGTGTTGGTCATGAAGTATTATTCCCACCTGACTTCATAGTGTCTTCGGGTAGAGGAGAAGAAGGGCAACGATCATCTTTTCATAGCCAGATCCAGCTGCTTTTTAACCATCTGCCCATCCTTTCTGGTTGTTCACTTACCTCTAGCAAGGACAAACACTCCGTTTCCCATTTTCTGGATGTCATTCCATTTGACCTCACAGTAGTATGTGCCAGTAGAAGAGCTGTTTTCAAGTGGCGTGATTCTGTGGTTGTAAGATATGGTAGCAGTCTTATTCTCTTTTCCAGAAGGGATGGCTATGTTTTCTGACGTACTATAGATGGATGTTTTCTGTCCCAGTGAATTAATCCAGTAATAAGAGATTGAAAATATGGTGTATTTCGGCATGTAAGGGAAGATGACTTTACAGGGGATGGATATTCCTTCCTTGAGCAGTGCAACTTGGATTGGAGGTTTCTGCTGTACGTCAACATTTCCCCCTGTAAGGGTAATAATTGTTAGCAGTCACCTAACATCACTTTAAGTCAAGAGAGGACTACTGCCCCAAAGACAGGATCTCATGGTGAAAATAACCGTATGTCAGGAAAATAACTGTATGCACGCTCATAGCACACAGTGTTTGCCCTTGTCAGAATTTGAGTGATTCAGAGCACGTGCCCTATGTGATCTGCCACATCTCTTAGGTAATTGCTGTGTGATTTGCGATAGCCTGTTGCATTCACAGGCTTCCCCTTTTCCCTTGTGAGCTCCTCCATACAATGCCAGCATGCAGAAAGACAGGAAATGAGGCAGGAAGTGAACTGATTTTGCAGTGGTGCGAGACTGTATTTACAGCAGATGAACAGAAAGCGATTTTCCAAGACAAACACTAGCTGGACATCTCCTGAAACTCCTGTGTTATAAGCATTTGCTTGGGTGTCTGCACGTGCCCATGTGATGACTCTGCGCCAGCGAAGGTGCTGTACGCCAGCAGGTGTTATCAGCGGGACTGTGTGTTTCCCAAGCACGAGGAAGGAAGTTGCACATTCTGCATAGGGGCCAGCACCAGGACCATGAGAAGTAAGACACAGCTTAATCACTCCAAACTTTTGCTGCTGTAAATGGGCAGCAAAGCACAAGACTCAATGCTAGATTACGGTAACTATCTGCAGAAGACTGCAGATCTTAAGTATCTATACATGACAGTATCTTAGGCAGAGAAATGGGAGATCATGCCCTTCGTGTGCTTCCTCCTTACACAGACAGGGCTGCTGAAAGCGATCTGTCACTGCAGTTCAGTAGACAATGATGTCAGGACTTACAAGAGAGGATGAGTGAGCGCAAATGGGGAACCACACCATAGTTCACTCCCTGTTTTGTTTAATAAAAATTTAAAAAATCCATGAGTGAGCCACAAGCTAGTAGGAGCCTGGGGTACAGGACCTCTTTGGCTTCCCAGCCAAATCTGAGTCTAAAGTCAGGCAGTCTCTGGACTATTTGTTTGGCAGCTGACATAATACCACATATGAAGTAACTTAAGACAAGGCCTGTGCAAAACATTTTTGTCTTTAAAAAAGGGAACAGGAAACTTACATGCAAGTCTTCTTACAAAATGAAGGATCCTTTCAGAGACATGAAAACAGAAGGGGGAAAAAAGGTAGAGAGAGAAAGCAGGGGATGGGCAGGCTTTTCCATTCATGCTTCTGATGGGATTCCCTGGGGTTCTGCATCTATGAACAGGCTCATAACAAGGCATTAAAGCTGTCCCAGAGCACAGCCACGCTTGCTTTCCTGTTGTCGTGCACCAACGCTGCGTCACAACAGCAGCATCACCTCTGCACAGTGAGATTCAGCATCGGAAAAGGCAACTCAGATTTAGTGCTGCTGAATGCTGAGCACTGAGGAAGCATTTTGGGGGGCAATAATGGAGGGAGGGCACAGCCACTGTCCAGAAAGGACTGCTGGGAAATAACATCCATTAAGGAAAATCCACTACAGATGACATAGCCAGGGACAATAGCCTGAGAGTAAGGAAGAGCTTGGGTTACATCACTAGAAAAAGGTTGTTAGCTGTAAAAGCAACCGAGATACAGTACAGTCCTAAGGGACGTGCTCATTCATTGTGAGTGCACAGTCCTGTGTACACTAGATACAATATTATGGAAAGATGGTAACAGAAAATCCTGCAGACACTGTGAGAGTGATAACCTGAGCGGTCTCTTCTGGGCCTTATTTTCTAAATCATTCATCATTCATCATCCTTCTCCTCATGTCTACACGGCAGAACACACATGAATATAGTTTCTATACAAGGCATGGCTAAGGGCTGCTGTAACAAAACAGAGAAGAGATCCATCTTTTTACAGAATCCCAGGACCATTAGCTTGAGAAGAACATGCCAGGAAAAAGCCAAACCATTTTATTTAGGTTATCTAACCTTTCTCCCTTGTTCCCCCTTTCTTGAGGATTCTCTCTCACAGCTTTGAAATGCTTAAAAAGACAGAAATAGCAGCAGCGTGCAAATTCCTAGAGGGGATCTCTAGAAATTAGCAAAAGATAGCAGCTGGAAAAGCTCTAATATGAACAAACGTGAGAGTAAACAAAAGGAATTAAAAAACTCTTTTTTACCTCCACACTGAAGCAACCAAAGGAACAGGAAAAGGACTTTTAGATGAGAGCCCATGATGAGGGCCAAAGCTGTAAGAAAGCAACCAGATATGAAGATCCAAAAGGCATAAGAGATGGGTATTTCCACGCCTGGGCAGCTGGTTGATCCCCGCCTGTTTGCGAAGGGACTGGCGGGATGGACGCAGCCTGCTTTTGGCAAGCTGTTCCTGGCAGACACAGACTCTTCTGCTTTTTGGTCAGACTCCTCCCCGCACCAGGGTTCATTTCTGTGTACTGTTACAATGGTGTTACACCTGCCAGTGGGTGTCCAAAGATTAAACTGTAAGCTCTTTAATGCATAGAGTGTTGTCTTCTGATGACTGTAAAATATCCCATGCATTTAAAGCAAACTTTGTCACCTTCCACAGTGACTGAAGCCCCATGTTGGAATATGGAAAAAAATGTGCTTTGACTGATGCAGATTGAGGCCATTTGAGGTGAATGTGCTTAAATTCAGTGAAGGATTCAACTGACTCCGGAGTGTGGACAAGCTTAAAAGCACCACAGTGGCATTTTTAACATAATTTTGCAAGGATTTGCTTACACAGTTGTTTTGGAACAGCTATTCCGGATTATCTCAAAGCATGGACCATCCAGGCTTTTGAATAAGGGCACCTTACTTTAAATTATCTTAACTGAGTGCTTTGTTCACATAGGGAAGCTACTGAACCGTGCCACAGGGTGTGGGTTCACGACAGAGTAGCACCGCTGAACTCCTTCTTTATGTGAACACTCAAGTGTGGGATCACCTGTTTTGCCTTCAACGTGGAAAACAAATACCTGCACCAGCAGTTAGTACAGAGGAAAAGCTCCACTGTCCTCCCGACTGCACAAAACTTCCCTCCACAGCCAACTCCTCCACTAGGTCACTTCGGAGGAAGGCACTCGTATTCCAGAAGTGAGAACAACCAGACAGCAAATTCATCTCTAACAGCTGGGATGTTTCAGATCCACACGATGCTGGCTCTGAATCAGCTTCACAATGCAGGCAAGCTTAGGGAAATCTAAGCACAGCCCTTTGAAGAAGAAAACCCTTTTTTTTGTGGGAGGATTCTGCTGCCTATACTCATGAAGAGTCTTTGATTTTGATGAAAGCTTGTTTTTAGCTGAGACATCTGCAATGCAACAGCTGAGCAGCGTCTGACTCAAAAAAACCCTGATGTCTGAGAGGTCTTCACTTCTCTCTAGGAAGCTTCCTCCTTTCACACTTCTTGTGAGACATTTATACTGTCCACAAGAAAGCACGGTGCTGCAATTTCAAGGCTACCCACTCACACGGGCTGCTGTGCTGTGGAAACTGGTGGGGGATGACTGTGCAGGGAAAGACTTCAGAAGGCAGATGAACCTGTAAAGTAACTATGTATCATCAAAATCACTCTCTATTGGCTGTTTTACCCCTCCAGAGTTTGTAGGACTGAGGTTTGCTCCAAAGCAACATTTGGTTTACAGCATTTTTTCCTCCTGTTCAGCCTGGAACAGATCCTCAGGAGGAAGGGGTCTTGACACAGGGGGGCGGCACGCAGCTGCAGCCGCTGCAGTCCCCTGAGCCCAGGGACAGCCCCGGTACCTTGCTGAGAGCCCTGACAGATGGGGAGAGGACCAAGTGGCTTTGTGTGGCTCTGCAAGGCTGGTGCAGCAGCTGCACTCCTCCAGGGAAGGTTTAGCTCAGATTAGCCAAAACCAACTCCTCTCTCCCCAAGACATGCCAACGTGAGCTGCACGGGGCTGGTCTCAGCTGGAAATCACTCCTCACAGGTCTTAACACTGAGCAGCGAGGACAATCAAGAGCGGTAACAAGACACTTGGGTCCCACTTGGTATTTCAGATATGTAAGGCACAGAGCAGCCAGCTGGGGCTCTGGGGGGCTGTGGGGTCACAACAGTGCTCGGCAGCATTTCTCAGGCCTGAACAGTATCTCAAGGTAGTTGGGGCAGAGAGGGAGAAGGGGGCAGGGGCTTACTACCCTCCTGTGGAAGAACGCTGCTGAACAGGGAGGGCTTCCTCGGCTCTTATATCACACTCATCCCCACGGTAGCACACAGCTTTGCAATTTCCAGCATTGATGTATTTCTAGAGGACAGAACATGCTGCTCCTGTCAGTGATGTGTTTTAACTGTTATCAGCATTTATCTGCTTCAGGAATCCAGAGTGATAAGTGGATTAAGTGCGGTAGGTTTGTAGGGCTGCTAGGTCAACATCGTCCTTCTGTCCTTTCCCTTCTCTTCCTATAAACAACCTTGTTGCCACTCTAAATGCCAAGTCCTAGAAATATCGCTGTCTGAAATTTAGAAAAAAAATATAGAGATCTAGCATTTCAAAAGAGATCACACGTAAGACTCAGTTGTGGGATTAAAGGCACAGCCAGGCCAGAAATACATTCACTGCTGGAATTTGCTATGGTAGAGCTCACTGAAAAGAAATGGCTTTGAAACGACTACCCAGCAGCTATTAACTGCGAGATGGGACAACATTCTGTTCCTTAGAGCCTAAAGGGAGCCTGAATCTTTGAATGATAAATTCTAATTCAATTTTGTCTGGGGATTCTGGACTGGGTTTTAACCCTGGAGATACAAATGGGAGGAAGATGAGGGAAAGCTGGGGAGTTGTGTGTTTCTATTACCAGCCTGTAGTGGGGCTGAACTGATCCTCCCAAAACCTAGGTGGAACCAACCAGGAAACCTGTGCCAAAGGAAATAAATTACAAAGCTCCAAAGGAATAGGTCATTGTATGACCTTCACTCGTGTATTTTACAGTACACTGCTGTGTGTGAGCTGGTCCCTGCAGCATGACAAGGAGGGAACTGCTTGTCTAGCTGTAGCCCCGCCACAGCACAGACTGGCCAGGAGCCATATGGCTTGGTCCTTCCTTTGATGCGGCAAATGCTGATCACTTCCTGAGACTAAATACATGATTAGGCTAGGTGCTAGCAACAGTTTCTGCTTGTAGCTGGAAAGTGGCCATTAATTTCACTCAAGCCCTGTTAAAAGCCTGCAACAGCGGCCAGCATTCCCAGCCATGAGGAAAAGCACATTGGTCTGGCACACACGCCAGCGAGTTTGGGCAAGTGCTGAACCTACCAGAATTGCCTGTTCACAGCTGTGTCCAATGTACACCCACAAATAAAGGCACACATGCACACACGTGCGCGCGCACACATACACACACACACACGTGCCCACACATGCCCCCAGAGCCAACGCCAGGGAAAGCATTTATTCAAACAAAAAGGCTGCTGCTAGCCAAGGCAAAAGCAATGCTGCAGAGACCACAACAAAGCTTCTTTATTGCTGAAGCGTTTAATACCACAACCATCCAAAAGAGAAACACTGCTTGGCGCAGAGAAGAGCTGCAGCAACTCGAGGCTGATTGCAGAGAGAGCCTCAGAGCATTCCCCAGCACAGCAGCTCTGGATTTGCTGCCTTGTCAGAGACCAGCTCAATTCCCCATCGCTGGAAAGCCAGCCAGCAGCAACACACGCACCTCTGAGGATTCACAATCTCTTTGACTCCTCTAACCCCAGACTCTTGAGGCGTACAGTTTCCCTCTGTCTGGCAGCAGGAGCGATAGGCAAGCCAGCGCGAGCGGGGCCGTACCTCTGCCAGCATTTTTACCGCTGTTGTGTGTCGAGTGCCTCTCAGCAAGGGCTGGATGATGCCGAGGTAAAAGCTGCCAATGCCCTCGCAATGTTTCCACCCGTTGAACTGCTCTAGGGAAGAGAACAATCAGCGACTCAAGGGGAAACCTGAAAAAGAAAGGTGTTGACACTACTGTGGGGAAGGAAGGGGGCACTTCTACAACTCCCTTTCACCAGCAGAATGAGCCTGCCTCAAAAATCACCCTGCTTCGGCTCTTTTTCTGTTCCTCTGCTGGAAGGATTCCCAGGGACTAAATTACTGTCACATCCCCAATGCACTCTCAGGGGCCAAGGCTGCGCGGCTGCGTCTCAAGCCTCACGGTGTTCCCCGCGGCTCCCGGCACAGGCTCCCTCTCACAGCCTGCGCGGCAGGCCGGGGCCAGCGGGATTTCGCCTGGAAGGGCTTCTTTGCCTTCTCAGGCTGACACCTTCCAGGAGAAACCTCTGCCTGGCCGGGCCTGGGGCTGAAGCGGGGCCAGAGCTGCTCTGCTGACAGCAGAACGGGCCGTGTTCCGTCCACTCATGCAAGGGGGGGTAAAGCTTCCTCCAGACAGCTCGCC